ATCTAGTCTATGAAGACATGTGTACATACTGCTGTTTTTAAACTCCTGTCCACACAAACAGGCCACATCAGCCATGGAAGTGCAATCACAATGCTGGACTGGTGGAGACAATGTGGCTGCTTCAAATGCTTCACTGTTGATATACTTTTGAGCAGTTCTGTTGAAAAAGCTTTGTCCTTCTTGCACAAGAGCAACATCCTTTGAAAACTGGTTTATGCCAGAGGTAGGGCTAGGTGTATCCAGTGTTCTGATAGAGACTTCAAAATCTGATGCTAAAAGCTCTAAAACCGTATTTCCGGAAGGCATTTCATTAATGTTTGGCTCTGTGCTTCTAGATCCTATGTGCATGTCAACAAAGGTTGTTTGTATCCAGTGATGCCATAGAGCACCAACCAAAGAGCTCTTACTTACAAGAGACACGTTGGTGCTTGTGGTCTCACTCTTCATGTTCATATTTTCAGAAGATAAAGTATTTTTTATAGATGGATCATGTCCTGCATATGCTGAATGAGTGTGCATGGTTAGTAATGAGTGAGCATCCAACAAGGGAGGTGTTGCAGCATATATGCTGTGCCCCGTTTCTAATAATTTAGTTTTACCAAGGAAATTACTTTGCTTCACTGAGCCGTCATTAAATGTACTACTGACTGTGAAGATATTCATCTCTTTTCCTAGGAATAATGTTTCTATATTAGCTAAATTACTTTTACCTTCCGTAAATTCTGGGTTAGCAGCAGCTTGTTGAAACTGTTGTTCAAGATCAACTAAGGCCTGTACTGTACATGGTAAAAGTTTGTACTTATTTGAAGAGGTGTGACTGGCAATTATTGGCTCAGAGGGAGGTAGTTGTATGGAATCCCCTAATGTATTAGATGACTCCACAGGTTTTGCTTTACTTATGGTCCACAGCATAGAAACCTCTGACCCTGTAATGTTTTGAAAACCTCCTGTGTCCAAAGAGAAACTTGTGTTTATCATTGTACTTAAGGCCTGATTACCTATTGCCTGAAGAGAAGCATTGAAAATAGTATTTAAAGAAACAGCCTTTGTTGGTGTAATACCTAACTCCAAGTTTGTATATGAGCCTTCTTCATTCCTAGCTGTGGTTTCGAACACTGACATTCTGGATACAAGATAACGTTTTTCTACCTCCAAAAAGTTATCATCACCTGAAACCATATCCTGTTCTTCTTCATTGTTTTTGGAGGCTGGCAGTGGATTGACAACTACTTTAACAGATGAGCTATCAAATGGAAGCACTGTAGTTGGTGTAAAATAAGGACCCTTCATGAGCAATTTAAAGGTTTCACTGGATGTATCATTTTTTAATGTGATTCCCTTCCATTGTTCATCTCGTATATCATCACTTGAGGTCAATAAATCATGATGACCTTCCCACTTTGAATACAGCTTATCATAGCTTTCTGTCAATAATTCAGACATTGTAACACTTTGCTTTTGAAGTGGTATTAACACTTCATTGTGAAATTCTTCTTGATCCATGTCAACTACAGTTTCTGTTGATAAGATCTCCCGAGTCAAACTTGGTTGAAGATTTAAAAGACTCTGCATATTGTTGGCACTTATGTGTGGAATATTTGCTCTATGAACCAGTAAACTCCCAAGTAAATGTTTTGAATATGTGGGTGATAGTCTAGTTACTGCATCAAGCTCTGCGTACACAGTGGTACAACTTGAGAAAACATTACAGGAGATAATGTCTGTTAAGAATTTGCCTTGTACATATTGTGCAAATTTATTTCTGGCCATTACAGAACCAGGATGAACACTCCAAGTGTTCTGCTCTTTACACTTAAACTCTGGTGAAGCATTAATAACTTCTAAATCATATTTTGCCTCCATTGATGTCTCATAAATATACAATCCATTCATAGAAGGTTTTAGTAGTCCAGTAACCTCTCCATCTTCTTTGTCTGTGCTTTCCATTGTTGATTTTACATAATCCTGGGTACTTTGAACATTTTCATTTAAGAAAAAGGATACATTTTCAGTTTTTTTATCAGAGAGTCGTTTTCTATCAGCCATTACATGAAGAAGAGTTTCATAAACACTGCTAGATGCATTTCTGCTTTTTAAGTCAGAAAGTAAATATGTTGATATTTTACTATGCTCACTGCCAAACTGTACAATGTTTTTTTCATTTGAAGTTGGTGTATTCCTGTCATTAAGGTGGAAAAGCCATTTTAACCACCATGTCTGATTGGTATGGCTATAGCTATGCTGTGTAATATTGAATGATGTGCTATTTAGTTTCATAAATGGAGCCAAATACCACTCATCTTGACTTCCAGAACCTTCAGCCTCTACCTCTGAGACTGAAGACTCATTGCTAGTAGCGTTAATAAAAATTAAAGAGATACTGTTAGACAGTAGTTCATTGGTTGACATTTCCTCTCTGGTAGCTTCGATGAACCTGTTTTCTGTGGTTACTCTTTGATTTGTAGGAGCAGACCAAGAAGGCTGAGTCGTCATGGTCAAGAACCAAAGGTTAACTGCCGTTTTAGATGTGCTACTTTTTTCAGACGATGATGGTCTTTGTTTTATTGGCCACACAATTGGAGTAGAGATTATCCCTATGCTTCGTACACCTTTTATTTTGGAGTCTTGTATCTGCAGCTGCCAGCTTGCAAAGGAATGAGTGGCAGAGTTTCTCTTCATTCTGATGGGAAATGTAGCAGGAACGTTGAGTTCCTGCAGATCTGCATGTGTTATGCCATACAGTAAATGAATTGAAAAAAAACTGTTACTTGTACATAATATAAACACTACCAATGTTGTTAAGCCTGATTTCTCTCATGTCATAACCGCACACACACATATATATATATATATATATATATATAGATGGATAGATAGATATATCTACATATATATATATTATATACAAAACACAAAAATACACTTGTATATGTACAACTACTAGAGAACACAATATTCCATTTCACTGCATGCAGACATTACCGTTGCTAATATGTAGACCAAAGATAAATAACATTTAAACAGGTAGTATTGTCAATTATTTTGCACAGGAGAATGGACTGCCAAATGGCATGCTTCACTAGGGTGCACATATTTGTAGCTTTAAAGGTCTAGTCTCTCTATAGAAAGAAAACTAAAATATACATATAGTGGTGATAAATGTACTGATATGAAATTGAAATGGAAAAAACTGTGAATGTTTCAATCCTTTGGTTTAGCATAAGGCATAACAAAGTCACAAAAGGAATCACACCTCAGTAAATTTTGAAACTGGTAAGAATTCTGTAAATAAGAGCATATAACAAACCTTACTTATATTCTCTGTATCTAAACTGTCAGAAAACTGTCAGGTTTTGCTGTCTGTGTACAATGGGGGAAATTTCCAGAGTTAATGGAAATCTCCCAAAGCGAGCGTGAATTCCCGTCTAAGACAATTTTTCCCAGAACACGTGTCCCCAGACCTCTTGTTCTGAGTAAAACTTTAAAATTGTAGATTTCTCTCATCTTCTTTTTGGTGACCAGAACAAATACTGTACTGGCAACAATGGTCACCAGTAGAAATATAGTTGATAACACAGATTGTAATAAAAACAAATGGTCTAAACCTTCCCCAAAACTGAAATAAAAGGTTTTGCCTAAAGATAGACTTTAAAGTGACAATAAAGTCAGGAGTTGAACCTTAACAATGCATTTAAGCACCTTAACTAATTGCTGTCCAGAGCAATTTCTGACTATTTGCGCCCACATGATAAAATCTGAATTTTTGCCTAGAAAACAGCTTAAAACCCCCAGCAATTATATATTATATGAAAGCAGAGGCCCTGTATAATAAAAAAAAATTATGTCGCATGGGGGCCACATTCTGACGCTCGGTACGAATGATACAGTGGTTGTTTAGACACCGGATTGTTTGTATCTGAACAGCCATTGCCGGCTGTTTACAGTAGCAGCCGTGTTCTTGGTATAACCGCTTCAAGGGGCCGGCCGTATATATATACATTAACATTACATCAACTATTAACAAAAAAGTAGCTTATTTGTGTATCACTCGGCTGTAGGACCACAAATCGTCTCTGAATTCGTGTTGTCACTATTCTTCCTTCTAGAGGGTGGCTACTTTTCTTTCCCCATGGTCTCTGTGTGTGTTGTTAAGTGGCCGCCTCTCCACTCTCATAATAAACTATAACTTCAATAGAAATTAGCTAACTAAATGTGAGATTGTAGTACATCATGGAAATGAGCTTGGAGCTGTGGCTACTTTACAACACACACAGGGACCATGAGGAAGAAAAGTAGCCACCCTCCAGAAGGAACGACAGTGTCAGCATGAAATCAGAGATGATTTAGTGATACACAAGTAAGCTACTTTTTTGTTATGGTTAAGGTTAAATCCATTTTTAAGATTTGTTACTTTCATTTCACAATTATAACTGAAAATTATTTTCATATGTCATATAAAAGTTTAAAAAGTTATCCACTCTGGGTGTTAAATATGGCATGGCACATTTTTATACCTTTATTTATTATCATATCTACAACTTCCAACAGCCAATCATGCTAATGTTCAATGAGCTATAGATAAAACAAAGTTAAGCAGGGGTTCCTAGAGACCTAAATTCAGGGATGATTTGAGGATCTACAGCTGAGTGATGCACAAGTAAGCTACTTTTTTGTTAATAGTTAAGGTGATTGAGTGCATTTTTAAGATTCCTGAGTTTAGGTCTGAAGAAAAGACATATTGCATGAATACACCAATCCCATCCAGTACATCATTTTATTGTTGGATGGCATTACACTATAAACTTACGTTTACTCAATATAGCCTTATATGTATATTACAAATCTAAATATACAGATATGAACAAGAATGTTTATACTTCTAAAATATAAGTCGGTTGCGTTTAATCATCTGCAGGACCTACAGTATATAAATACATTTGTAAATGCTTACCAATATATGCAACATTGTAACAGTATATAATGTACTTTGGGTCTCTTACCAGTTGTTGGATTATCGGTGCTATTAGTAGTCATGTTAGTAGTTATCATAGTGGATGCTGAAGTTGCTGGGAAAATACAATAATAGGTGAGCTTAAGTAGTAACTGGGGATCCACTGCATAGTTAAAGTTCTAGGTGTGATTTAAAAATAACAGCAAACAAGGTTATTTGGGTGATCAAGCACATAGTTAACTTAGTAATCAGCATACTAAGTGGATTAAACTACTTTATTACCAAGGGAGCACTACTATTTTAGAATATCTCAATACATGCCAGTCAAGCTGTCCAGGACCCATTACTAAACATGCAATATAAAAATAATTTTAAAACAATACAATACAATAGAAAAATAATAGAGCAACAAGAAGGAAAATGGCACAATCAATTACATTCATTTAAAGTTAGTAACTGGGCTATCCCATTTAGCTGAAATACAAGAGCTCCCCCTACAGAGATACATGACTGTCTTTTAAAGCTGAACTCCAATTAGCCCAATAATATTGGTGGTATATTCAGGTTTAAATGCTTGTTTAGTCTAGGGGTGGTTTAAAATAGAACGGCACTTATCCTATGTCAAGCTTCCTGGTAGCTGGCACTCTCCTATGCTCCCTTAATGTTGGTGGGTCCTTGAGTCCCTCGAGTACAAAGAAGGACCACTGAAACAGAAGAAGAGTGGCTTCATGGGACAGGTCGTATAAAGGGGAGGAAGCCTGTGGGAGTGAGGAATAAGGTTGAGTATTCCTCTGCTTTAAACCTTCCCTAGACTAAATGAACATTTCAACATTGCTATGGGGGGGCACATACTAATTACGTTTCATGTCTGACTGGAGTTTAGCTTTAAATGTACATTTTTTTTCAGTTGTGTTATTTGGGAATTCAATTAAAGCCAACAATTGCAATCCACATACCTACTTTAGACGTAATTGTTTTTTAAAAAAAAGTAGCACAAAGATGTGTTTGGTTCTTTCTGAGAAAATTCTCACATAGAAAGTTCTTTCACCAAACCGCTAGCTCAGCACATAGCTAAGGCTGAATATTGGTGTTATAAGTAAATACATTTGACAGTTACCACAGTTAAACACTAGGAGGAGGTTGCTATGTACACACTTTATGCAACAAAATAATCATGTATTCATCAATGATCATGGATTATTTCGTATTAACAAATGTATTGTTTGTTAGGGAAAGAGTGGAAAAAATTGGGATTCTCCTCTGCAAATACAAATACACAAGAGTTTTCAAAGAGCAAGAAAGATATAACCTTAGCAAACATGACAAATAATGACCCACTCAATAACTCTCTTGGGACTCTAGAAAAGCCAGTACTTTTGAGGAACAAATGCTATTACAGTGATGCTAGTGCATAGTAATTTGCACTAGCATCATTTATGGGTAGCATTACTACAACATCTACAAGATCACACACACTTCTGCATTTTTAGCTTCATACACTCTGATTAAGAGTTAAGAGTTGTTTAAGCCAAAATGTATCAGTTGATTATAAATCCACTGCTTCTGTAAATGATACACCAGCTGGTTATTTGCAGGGATAGATTAAGGCAGAAAAAGGTAGCAGCTTCACCCCCATCCCTTTGATTTGTATTGATAAGGCTTGCAAAAAGTACAGGGAAGCCATCCCATTAGCACTGCCTTTACCAATATGAACATGACCCCATCACAAATAAAGTGTACGGTGACAGGCAGATGCACAGACCACTAAAGGTAGTCATACACTGCTCGAATTTTGGTGGAGTCAGCATGACAGTGTGTGGTCCAGTTGGCATCGCTACATTTGTGAAATGTTGATTTGTTTATGGATTTTTATTGAAGGGATTGGTCCAAAGGTTCTAGACTGAACAGTGAATGTAGCCAATACAATATCTCAGCATGGATGGGGGACTGAAGCTGCAGTCACTGTTTGGGTATTCTGACAACAATACACCCGCCGCTGTTAAAATATAATAGCCCAATGTGGATGGGGAAATCAAGTGTTTTTGAATGCAGGGTTGAAAAATAACAAAACAAATGGTGTGTGACCCGTTTTATTCGATTTCCCTAGTTTACTGAAGGAGCATTAAGGTTGTATCTCAGCATTCTGGACCTCCAACAGGCTGCTGTCTACGTTGTCTTGCAAATAATCTAGCTCTAGTCATTCACTGACACAAAACTATTTGTTTTGAGGCAGTGAATACAACCAGATTTAACTGAAGATGGCTTCATGTTTTGCAAGGTACTACAGTGAACATGTACTTGTATCGGAGCTTTGTCCCCAATAAGCATGCACGCAAAAATTATTTTACATGAGGCTTCTTGTGTATGAGAGGCAGCAAGGATGGTATTCCAACATCACAAACAGTTGTGTTCTAAGATTATGGGTAAAAAGCTGAGGTTAGGTCACTCACTACAGTATCCTGAGAAAGCGAATGATCTCATAATGCATGACAATGGAGCATTTCCTTTGGCCAAATCCAGTTAATCCCCACTTGTCCTCGTAACATTCTATAAAACCCATGCTATTGTTATTCCGATATTAAATATTCTGCAATAACTAACAGTCACAAAAGGGCTATTTACTAAAGGGTGAAGAGTTTGGAGAAGGCAGGAGAAGTGAACAATCTAGCACAACATAGCTGAACTAAAAAGTGAGCTGAATTAAAGAATTTTTTCGAATCAGCTATGTTGTCCTAGATTGTTCACTTCTCCTGTCTTCTCCAAACTCTTCACCCTTTAGTAAATAGCCCTTTTGTGACTGTTAGTTATTGCAGAATATTTAATATCGGAATGACAATAGCTCTTCTCCCTTTAGTAACTAGCCCTGTAAAAAAAATTAAAACTAATATCACAGTATATTTTCATTTTTAAATAATGGCTATTATGATTATTTGATCATTATTTCTACCTTCAAAAACACAAAATGCATATTACTCCAGTTATCAATACCACATTTATTAAATTATTGATGACAAGGAGATGTTAATAACAATTTAATTCAATAATCAACACTGCTTGCTTTATTTGGATTTACAGAGGAAATATAAAAAATAAAATAAAACCTGCTACAGTAAGTTATATCCTCGTTCTTCAAAGTAAACCTGAAGCTTACTTTTTA